CGGGGGGGGCGGCGGTGCCTCACACAAAATGGCGGCGGCTGGGCCAGGGCACTGACTCTGCTCCTTCTCCCTCCTCCTGCTCTGCCCTCACAGGTGGCCATGGCGACGGGGCAGGTGCTGTTCCATCGGTTCTTCTACTCCAAGTCCTTCGTCAAGCACAGCTTCGAGGTGAGCGCGGCCCGGGGGCACCGGGAGAGGGCGGCTGGGGCGGCCATGCGCCACACAGGCCGTTCCCTTCGAGCCTGCCGGATTTGCTTCTTACTTACGTAATTCTCTTTTTATCTGGGCTGAAAATTGTTTGCTTAACGGAAACGGGGCTTCTTTTCAGATTGTTGCTATGGCCTGCATCAATCTCGCCTCCAAAATCGAAGAGGCGCCTCGTCGGATAAGGGACGTGATCAACGTGTTCCATCACTTGCGGCAGTTAAGAGCAAAAAGGTAAGATCAGCTTCGTTATGAGCATAAACACCTGTTACCACTAATGTACGCTGCAGTTCTCAATTCACAGTATTTTTCCAGGCTAAGTTCAACGACCTAAAATTGAGAAGGGAGTGCCCGTTGGCTGCTGTGTAGGCAGTACAGTGCAATCTCGGCTGCTTCTGCTTTTGTTCACTTGGTAGACCCGTTTTCGTTGTTGATTTAGCTACAAGTTATGATTGGCAAGTATTTGTTTTAGTTTTAGGACCACGGTTGTAGTTTCAGGTATGTTTGTTGAATTTTTGATGTCTCGTAGTTACTGTAAGGTAATCTTAGTTGTGAGTAGCCAGTTAGTGAGTTGCTGTGTATTCTCCACTTTTTTAACCATACTCAGCAGTGCTGATGCTTTTCTCTCCTTGGTCTGTGGCTGTCCAAGTGTCTTTGTGGTGCTAAGAAAGTATCCCTTAAGAAGCTGAACTTTGAGTGGTGACAGTGTTGCCTATTAGAAAAAGCCATTTTAGGAGGTACCTGAGGAAAGGTCAGGTTTGGCCTGCTGTGGTGAGAAGTGTGTAACTGAGTGTGTGGGAGGCTGAAGGCGTTTTTAGGTGCAGAAAGCGAGAGCTGCGTTGTTCTGGTGCCCTGTTGGAGAGGGGGCTCACCTGGCCATGTGCAGGCAGGGTAGAGCTGTCCCAGTTGTGAGCACCTAATGCTGCTCTTTGTGTGTAAAGCAGCGTCTTTCTCGTGCAGTGCAAATTGGTGATGCATTGAAAGGAGGAAGGTGTGGTTGAAAGGAGTTCTCTAGGTTACTGTTAAGCACAAAATTTCTTTATTTCTGTCGGGCAGGAGTGTCAAAGTCTAGGATTGGAGGCTTCAGCTTTGCTTCTGGTGCCTGATTGCTTAAAGCTTCAGGTACTCTGTAGTTGCAAAAGGATTTTGTTTTAGCTACCGTGTGAAATTCACACTTTATTTCCCTGCCCTGTGTCACCAGGTGACAGCAGGAATTTAAACCTGTGTTGTGCAAACTTCTCTGAGAAACAGAGTAGAAAACCCCTTAGGGAAGCCAGCTGTTTGTTGCTGTCTTTATTCTGGTTATGCCTCTGTTAAGCCAGAGCTTTGGCTTTGACTGCCTCCTGATGGTGTTGTGCTAGTTAGTTCTAGATCCAAGAAGGAAGAGTTGGTGTTACACTTTGGAATTTAGCTTTGTTCTGTCTGGCCTTTAAAGCTGTTCTCCCTGACGGCCCTGAGAGAGCTGTGTGAAGTTATGCCAGGTGTGAATTCAGTGGGATTGTCTTCCACAGTTATTAAGGGAGTCTGGTTATTGGAACTACTGGAGCAGGCTCAGTGATTAGTAACGTTCTGGCCTCCATCCAGGCAGTGAAGGTTAATTAATCATATGCCTTGCTTTTCTTTGCAACGAGAATACAAATTAGTTGTTTCTTTGTGCTGTGTGAAGGATCAGAGAAACTGAACTTAACCTGTGAATTTAAATCTTTCCAGCTAGCCTGTTCCAAATCCCAACTTGTGCATGTTACGTGGTGCCTAAAGTGCATCATGTCCAGAGAAATCGTGCACTGCTACCCATTATTTTCGGGAGAAATGGGTATTGTTGCTCTGCGATTCTGAGTGAATCTGCATGAAATTAACCTTAAAAATGCTGCAGTCTGATATTCAGACTTGCACACCCCCCCTTTTTTTTTTTTTTTAGCAAGCAGGATGTAAACGTTTTTCTGTACTTTTTACAAGCTGACAGTTCCATCACGTGTACACGTTATTAACTTCAACTCTTTTTTCCCTTGCAACCGACTATACAGCGACCAGCTACATTTACCAAAGCCTGGGTGATGTGGAGTGGTACATAAAGATGAAGCTGTCGTCATGGCAACAGTGAGTGAAGTATCGAAAATCCCCAAGGAGAAGCCAGTGCTCTGAGCATAGGTCACTGGAATCGGGGGACTAACAGGTTGGCCGCTGGTGAACCATTTGGAAGAACTCCTGTATCTTGTTATAAGCTTTTTTCTTTGCTGTCCAGGTTTTTAGAATACTAGCTTGACCTTTTTTTTTTTATTATTTTTTACTGAAGCTAACACTTAGGCTGTAGTTAGTCTCTCACACACAACCCAGAACTGAAACAGGCTGCTGTACTTTCTTTTTTAGTCTAGCATTTCTGTTAACTGAAGCTCTTAACCTGCACACGAATTTGGGGTAGTTTGGGTAGGCTTTGCTTTCTTTCTTAACCAGTTTTGGGTTCTTAGTTCCACTTTCTGGCTCTGTATAACTGCAGTTTGAATTCACAGTAAAACAAGGGTACGGAAGTCTTGAATTTGTACATTTTTATCAATTATGATGTAAGCAGTCCCTTCTATGTACCTGTTTGCAGAACTGGGAATTGCATTGGAATTTTCTTTTTATGAGACATGTAGTCAACTAAGGTGGTATTTCTAATGCTGAGAAGTAAGAAAAAGCTAAACAAGTGTTTTGGACAAGCATATTTTCTTTGGGATCTTTGACGAGCATATGTGATGTAGAACTGCATGTAAAAATGTTTGTGTGCATGGAGAAAAGCTCGTACTATGGAAAAACTGCTTTTTAAATAACTGTGTGCCAAAACCTCTCTGTTCTGAGCAAAGTGCAACTGTTGTTTAACTTGTAGAATGTAGTTTGAAGTTGATTTTATTTCTTTTAACTGTGCCTGAAAGCTGCAGAAGGTCCTGAGACTGGAAATGTGACACGTGTGGTGCTGTAATCTCACATGGTGCTTTGAGGTGCTCAGTCAGCTGTTCCTCGCTCAGGGGCCCTGCAGTGGGGCTGCATTAATGACACACGTTCTTAGTGCCTTCAGACTGCCTGCAAACCTGTGCTGCTTGTGGTTGTGATCCTGGAGACAAACAGAGAACTGGTGTTCTTTTACTCACCAGCATAACAGATCTCTGCTCCTTGAAATGAGGTGCTGGTTCTCTGCTGTACTTGTCACAAGTGCTTTGCTCATTAGGAACAAAACTCCATGCAAGGCACTGTTCCTCCAAGTATTAGTCATGCTAAAGACATCAAAGTTTAATATTACACGGAATGAAGCTGAAGCTTTGTGGAGAACTTAGGTCTCATTTGTAAGAGTGATTTTAAGAAAACGTATTTTTAATTTATTTGCTGTTAAAAACACGTTACAGTGTGTGTTAATCTTCTGGCTTGTTACACAATCTAAATCCCAATCAAGTTTTGCATCTTAGGTGTTGGATTGGCCACTGTGTGCTCTGTTCTAAAGATAAAGTCTCACCTGGAGCTCCAGTGCTGGTCTGTAGGAACAGATTCCAAGTAGGAACTTGTAACACTCCTTGGCTATACAGGGTTTGAAGCTTGTATTTCACATATAAGCTTATAAATTCTTTTTCTCTGGTTTGTTTCTTGGACCCAAGATAATTCTTGGACTGAGAATTTAAGTGCAGCAAATGCACTGGCAAAGTTCCTCTTTTTTCTTAGTAGGAAACAAAGAAGTTTTTCAAAGGGGAATCTGAAGTTTCTGATTTGTCAACAATTGTTTACCGACATTGCAGAGTTGATGGTAAAAGTATTAAATTGGTGAATCAATGCAGTGGAGAGTGTGGCTTGTGCCAGTAATAAGGTGCAGTAAAACACTTAAGTCTCCTGCAGATTTTTATTTTCCCTTGAGTGGATAAAAGGCTGTATTTGTCTGGAAGTCCTGGCTGGATAAACTGATGGTTTTCATGACTTCCTTAGGGCTGTAGGACTTGTGACCAAAGCAATATGGGACAGCAGGGTAAAGCAACCCTGTAATTGCAGTAAAGGCTCCCCTCTGTCCTGCTGCACTTGGAGCCACCTTAACTTCCCTCCAGAGTTCTCAGGGAATGCAGGGACATGTGGAAGGTGGGGTGGTGCATGATCCTGAGCACTGCCACTGGAGATTTGCTTTAATAGACTGCAAGTCATGGTTCTCCTAAGAGTTAAACCTGAGATGTCCCACCTGTGACGCAGCTTTCTGCTGACAAACAGCCTGGACACCTGAACTCACTCTGGGTGCTGCTCTGCACATCCTGTTCATGCTCGTGATCTTGAGATGAAATTGTGGGGAGCAATACTGAAGGAAATGTTATCAACACCAGTAAAACTGATGGGAGTGAATTGGAAGTGAATCAGCTTCACTGATGGGAAGAACTAAACTTGCTTGTTCCACTGTCCCACTCCAGAGCACTGTGATCAGCCTGTCTCTGTAGTGCTGAAGCGTTCAGACTAAATCAACTCCTCACTGAAGGAGTTACCCTAGAGAGGTCTGAAAAGCTTTTCTTCTTCAGTTAATTTATGGGGAGAAAAGAAAAACAACAAACCATAAACAAAAGAAAAAAAAATGTGTTGATTTTGGGCTTCTTTAGAGGAGCTGGAATGAAAAACTTTTTAAACTTGCCCTGCTGAGAGAGAGTAACACTTAACTAGAGAAGTTACTCTGCTGGAAGGTGGAACACCTGGCATTTCATATAATGAGACAGTACTGGAATTGCAGGTCCATCCTGGCACCAGGGAGCTGCAGTTGCTCATTCCAGAGCTGGGAGCTGCATCTCAGCCCCTTGGAAGGGCAGGGACAGCTCATGCTTCAAGTGCAGGGTGATACAACAAGATGCTTTTAATAGAGAAGTTTGTTGTGTCCTTTGCCCATGGCCATCAGTGCCTGTCAGGTGACTGCAGAGGTTGTGGAATAAACTGGATTATTCCAGCCTTGTCATTAAATTGGCTCTTTCTTCCTGGGGTGGGAACCTTGGTTTTTTGAGTGTTTTTTCTGTTCTGTGACCTAGCAGGGAAGTGAGGTCCACTCATGGAATTTACAAGTTGGCAGTGAAATATTTTGTCTGATAAAACAAAAGCTGTATTTTGAATCCACTTTGCATTACTTTTTTTTTTTCTACTGAAGGTAATGTAAAATAAATTTGTCACCAGTGCTTGGGGTGTATCATGTACACAGACCGTGGTTTATTAGAGCATAACGAGCTGAACAAAACATTATTCTGCTTTGGAAAGCACATGGAATGTGTGAGGCATATTACAGGGAAAAAGCTGGTCTGTCTTCAGGAGGAAGTGGATTAAAATATCCCATGTGGAATGTGGAAAGGTCAAGTCTGAGCACGGATAAAGCACAGAATATGCAATGGAGTGTTACACTTGTGCATCAGGTGTACAGAAGGCTACTGTGATTAAACATGCTGTGGACAGTTCAGAGGTTGGATTTGGAAGGAATTAGGATTGACAGTGCTGGAGTTTGCAATCTCTCTGAAATGAGCTGTTGTTTTGCAAATGCAAACAGCAACAGGGTCATCCCTGGTACCACCAGAGAGGGGAGCAGAGTCCCAGGCAGACCCATGCCTGTTTCTCAGGTTAATTCTTTGCTTCACTCAGCTTTTCACACATCACAGGGCAGGGCTGACTTCTCTGAAGGGTGAACCAGCTGCTCTTCAATGCTTAGGAAACTGCAATTTTTAGAGCACGAGTTGCTACTTTAATGCCAGTGAGAAGCCTGTTCTGGCTTACTTCTGCTTTGAAATCCTGGCTGGCAAAGGACTCCTTCTGCCACCTCTGCCACGGAGAGGAAAAGTTCTTGGGAGTGCCCCCATCAAGCCAACTCCTTCCAGCAGCTGGAGCAGTGCAGTTTGCATACACAGGAGCAGAAGGTTATTTTTATTTTTTTTTTTATCTCAGCCATCTAATCTGTAGCTAGCCAAAAGCAGCAACTAAACTAGTTTATCTAAACTTGGACAGCACAAGATTAATGCTTAAACTTGCTTGCAGGAGTTGAAAACCGGTTTCTGTTGCCATTAGTTGGTTGGAAGGGAAAACAGAGTTGCCGTTGTTTTTGGATATGCAAAACAGTTTTGATTTTATTTCTTGCAAACTATAGGACTCCAAGCCCCCTGATACTTGATCAGAACTACATAAACACCAAAAATCAAGTAATCAAAGCAGAAAGGAGGGTACTGAAGGAGTTGGGATTTTGTGTTCATGTCAAGCATCCTCATAAGGTGAGTTCTCAATAATAATGTAATTGTAATTCTTACTCTACCTTGGTGGCATCACTGGGAGCTGTGGAACAAGAAACACAGGTGTCAGAATGACCTGAATTATTCTCTTTATCCCCCTGTAGTTATTAATGCTTTTGCCAGACTGCTTGGGCAAACAGCTGTATTGACTGTGGTAAAAGTCACTTCCCTGGGAAAGGGTGAAGGTGGCTGGTTTGAAAAGCAGTGAACTAAAGAACTTCTGAAGGTGATGGGGTGACATGAGGGCTTAGAGTGTGTGCTTGGACAGGAGCCCCCATGGTTTGGGCACATTGTTGGATTTTATTTTTACATATTTATATATTTGCTTCCTTACTCCTGCTTTACATGTTGAAACTGAGTCTTTTTTCTCTTTCCCCCCCTCCTTATTCCTCAGATTATTGTTATGTATTTACAAGTCCTAGAATGTGAACGTAATCAAACCCTGGTACAGACAGCCTGGTAAGTTGCTATTTTCCATTCTTTTCCTAGCCAGGAAAATAGTAGCAGAAATAACAAGCCTGCTGATCCCTATGCAAAGCAATGAGATGTAAGTTACCACCCAAACACATTTGGACAATCTCCTGGTGCTTGTTTCTGCTTACTATTTTCATGGCTTGATTCCAGCGGGGCGATGGAGAACTCAATTTAACTTTGTTCTTTTTTCTACTCTTTGATTGAAGGGTAGTCCCTGCTGGTAAGTCATAGAGCTCTGCCCTCTGCACCTCAGCCCATGACCTGGGGATGGCTGCTTTGGCTGCCCTTCTCTCCAGCCAAGCCAGTGCAAGCCTCAGCGAGTTCACTGCCGTCACCCAAAGCCATCGGGCAGCACCTCCTAGTTCTGTCCTGGCGCCAGGATTTGTATATTTGGTTCTAGAAGTAACTGTTACAACTGTTTCTCAATGTCTTTGTTGCCTACCTGCTGTTTGTTAAAGGACACGTGGGGGACCATTCTGCCAGCATTTCTTTAGTTGATTTGCCATTTAAACTTGAATTAAACATTGAGGACAGTGCATGCAGCATGTTCACTTAGCAGCCAGGCTGGGCATGGGGGTGTAGAGTCCTCACTGACAGACTGCTGTTCTCTCCCGTGCTGGGAATTTAGAAATCCCTGGAGCTCTGGGTGTGTGCCATTGGCAGTGCCAGCCCTGTGCACCAGCAGGAGCTCAGGGGCCCAGTTCGAACTCACAGGTCTGTTCCAGCACTCAGTGAGCACATGGGGTGCCTCTCCCTGGATGGAGTTAGTGACTCCAAGTACAAATTGAAATGCAGTCAGAGTTTTATGAGCTCTGCAGGCTGCAGGTAGCCTCTGCATAATGGTAGATTGAAAATACACCTTGCTCTCCTGATGGCTCTTGAGTTCTACATTGATTTTTAAATACAAACCCATTGGTGATTAAGACAATCAGCTGGACAGATGCAAAGTTCTGGTTGAATTGTAACTCGGTGGACACTTCCCAGGGTTACTGAACCTAGGAAATGGCTGTTCCACCCTGCTTGGATTTACTGCTGCACATTATTGCCTCGGGGTTTAAAGCAGTGGCAGTGGTGCAAACTGCCACAGAGTGACACATGTAAACATCCAGCACCACCTGGAAGAAATCACATGTTCAATGTAACAACAGAAAAAATAATAAAGTCAATTGAGTCTCCAGTATTGTTATCCTCTAAAAGAAAAGCAAACTGGAGTTCCAATCTGGGCTGCTTTGTTTTCTCAGGAATTACATGAACGACAGCCTCCGGACAAACGTGTTTGTTCGCTTCCAGCCGGAGACTATCGCGTGTGCGTGCATTTACCTCGCTGCTAGAGCCCTGCAGGTGAGCCCTGGCTGCACTGAGCTCTGCCTTCCAGTGCTGCTGCTCTGCTTTCAAGGAAATTGATGGAAATGTTTCAACAAAACCCGACCTGAAATCTCCATGAAGCTTCTCCTTGTGTGATTTTCAGATCCCACTGCCTACCCGTCCCCACTGGTTCCTGCTCTTTGGCACCACGGAAGAGGAGATACAGGAGATCTGCTTAACAACTCTGAAGCTTTATACCAGAAAGAAGGTGAGCTTGACATGTTGGGTTTTGCTGCTCGATGCTCTCAGTGCAGCTTGAGCTGAGCTACGGTTGCCCCAGAAAAGTTTGGGAACGCCTGATACAAGTGTGCTAATGGGAAGGGCTCCTCTAAGGAGAGAACAAATAAAAGTTACAAGATCTGGACAGATTTTTCAGAAATGAGATGAAATATGAATTATGTTAGTTCAGCTTCTTACCTGGTTGTTACTTCCACAGCCCAATTACGAGTTTCTGGATAAAGAAGTAGAAAAGAGGAAAATGGCACTGCAGGAGGCAAAACTGAAGGCAAAAGGTTTAAATCCAGATGGAACTCCAGCACTCTCAACACTGGGTGGCTTTTCTCCTGCATCCAAACCATGTAAGTCTGTTTTCTGAACAGAACAATCTTCCCCTTTTTTAACATCGATTTGAATATTAATCTCAAAACCTTGAAACCAGAGTAGAAATAAAGGAGGTGCTTTAGTCCATATTTCCCCAGATAAGAGAGCAATATATTAATAATATGCACCCTTAAGAGAATGAGATACTGAAGCTGGAGTTGCTGTGTGTTCTGTGATGTGAAGAGAGGCTTTTTGGATTGAATTTGGGGGTGCTGCAGTAGCCTCTGTGGCCCCTTTACAAGCAGGTATCTGTGAAAATTCCTTCTCCTGGTTGTTTTTCATGTCCTTGGCAGCTGATTTGGTGCAGTGAGGGCAGACAGCTGCTGGGGCAGGAAATGGAGGGGGGAGAGGCCCAGCACTGCCTTGGCATCAGAGGGAATTAAATGGAACATGCATTTTAAACTGGCCAGTCTGCCTGAACTCTCAGCTTCTCCTGAAGAGCCCTGAGTTTTCAGAGTTCTTTGGGCTGGGCAGTGCAAGTTTCTCACAGAACAAGGGGAGTGATTTCTGTGAGGAGGGAGCTGAGGTTGGAAGTTTTGAAAGCAGGAGCTGTGGTGGGTTTAACAGCCCTTCCATGAAAGGTGAATCCATCTCTGGGCTGTACCAACTGTCTAGAGACAGATTGACTTCTTAACTAGGTGATTTTATTTGTTACTCATTTGTATTCGTGCCACTAATGTAAAGATGAAATGTGTAATTTTGCCAGGCTGGCTTAATCCTTTCCTGTAGCATTGGAAATAAATGGCAAGGTAACAAGTTCTGTATTGTGGGGGGCACAAAGACAGTTTCTGTTTTGTATTTTGTGGCCCCAATGAGCCTGGTTGTGTGCTCTGAAGGTCCCAGTGCTGTTCCTCCTTCATGGGCAGAGGGTTTCCCCATGAATATCCCATTCCAGGAGTGAACATAAATGGAGAGATGGGATGAAATAATAGATGTAGAATTCATACTTACACTTGGTGCAAATCCTGGTGAAGGGGTGTACGGTGTGTTTATGACAAAGGATGAATAAAGAACTAATTTTTGAATTGAAATTTAATTCTTAGCTTCCCCAAGAGAAGTAAAAGCTGAGGAGAAGTCTCCAGTGTCTGTGAATACCAAAACCATTAAGAAAGAGCCTGAAGAGAGGCAGCAAACCTCAAAGAGCCCTTACAATGGGTAGGTACAGCTCCTGATGGGAGAGCACTCGAGTCCAGATGCTTTCAGCTGCAGTGCAGGGAGCTCCTGAGGGCTGCTGGCGCTGTGGCAGTGCCTGAGCAGTTTGGTTTGTGCCCCACAGGCTGCGCAAGGAGAGCAAGAGGAGCCGCAGCAGCAGAAGCGCCTCCCGCTCCCGCTCCCGGACAAAGTCCCGCTCCCGCTCGCACAGCCCCCGCAGGCAGTGAGTGGGCTGGGGGCTGGGGTTGGGGGGGTCTGTCACACTCTGCCCTGTAAATCCAGGGGGCTGCAGCAGGGCAAGGCACTGCCAGGAGCGCTCTGAGTGCCGGCCAGCAGAACGGGGGAGGCTCTCGGTGCTGGGAGTGCAGCTGCTTTTAAGAGATGAGGCTGTAAAATTAGCCTGTCCTAACTGCACTGTACCTGAGGAGTCTGTGCTGGGCTGGGGTTGTCTTCACAAGGATCCCAAAGCCAGTGAGAGCAGTCTCTGGGAGCACAGTGCCCTGGGGAGGGGAGAGAAGTGTCCCAGGTGTGCAGCCTCCTTGTGTCAGTGCAGTGCCTGGCTCCTGTGGGCTCTGCCCTCTCATGGTGCAGGAAGGGGGCGATGCAGTGAGAGCTGCTGCCTTTAGGTTGGGGTATCCTGAGAATCTTCAGGCTCACATCTAAGCTGGAAACTGCCAGTTTGGATCTCAGTGACAAGGCAACACCCAATCAGTGATCTGGTGTTGATGGAGGAGCTTTGACAAGGTGGACAAAAGATGCTGCATTCTCCTTTTAGTTTGAGCTGTTTATTTCCAAATGAGCTCAACTAAAAGACTCACAAGAGTGGTTGGGGTTGGAAGGACTTTAAATCCCCCATCAGTGACCCCAGCCTTCCATGGGGCAGGTTCCGAGACATCCCCTGTCCCCCCTCACTTAGCCCTGAGGGACAAAGCCTGACTTTGCAGTGAGCTGGGGAGCTGTAAGCACTGCAGGATTCCCGTTTGCTTTTCCCTCTGTAACTGTTGTCTCTCGCGCAGCTACAACAACCGGCGGAGCCTGTCTGGCACCTACAGCTCCCGCTCGCGCAGCCGCTCGCGCAGCCACAG